GATTGACGAGTACTGATATTAGTTCTTCTTTAAAGTTCTTGTAAAACTCTGCTGTATATCCGTCTGTTCCTTTTCTTGGTTGGTAATCTTTTGATGGCTTCTTCTATTTCCTCACTTGATATTGGTCTGTTTAGCTCATATGAGCATATGAGCTCAATCTGGGTAGCTCATATGCCTTAAGGAATTTATCGATGCCTTCACTATCCTCTATTTTATTAGAGTATAGGGTTTCAAAATAATTTCTAATTATCTTCTGTATTTCTGAAGTGTCTGTTGTGATGTTGCCTTTTTCATCCTGTAAGCTAGTAATTTGGGTTCTCTCTCTTCTTCTCTTTGTTAACGTGGCTAGTGGTCTATCAACCTTATTTATTTTTTCAAAGAACCAACTTTTAGTTTTGTCAATTTTTTTGATTGTTTCTTTTGTTTCGATTTCATTGATTTGAGCTCTGACTTTACTTATTTCTTGCCTTCTACTGTATTTGCTGCTAATTTGTTCTTCTTTTTCTAAGGCTTCGAGGTGTAGTGTGAGGTCATTCATTTGATGGCTTTTCCTTCTTTTAAGGAATGAACTCCATGAAATGAATTTTCCTCTTAGTACTGCTTTCATAGTGTCCCAGAGATTTCGCTATGTTGTGTCTGAGTTTTCATTCACCTCTAAGAATTTTTTAAATTTAATCTTTGATGTCTTCTGTAACCCTTTGTTCATTCAGTAGCATATTGTTTATTCTCCATGTGATGTAGGATTTTTTTCTTTCTTATTTTATTATTGATTTCCAATTTCATTCCATTATGATCAGATAAAATGCATGGTAATGTCTCTACTCGTTTTTATTTGCTAAGATTTGCCCTGTGACATAATATATGGTCTATTTTTGAGAAGGATCCGTGTGCTGCTGAGAAGAAAGTTTTGTTAAGTCTTGTTGGTGTATGGTTCCCTTGAGCAGTATGTAGTGTCCTTGTTTATCCATTTTGATTAACTTTGGCTTGAAGTCTATTTTATTTGATACAAGTATGGACACCCCTGCTTGCTTCCGAGGTCCATATGAGTGGTATGATTTTTCCCAACCTTTCACCTTCAGTCTGTGTATGTCTTTTCCTATCAGATGAGTCTCCTGTAGGCAGCATATTGTGGGATCTTTTTTTTTAATCCAGTCTACTAGTCTATGTCTTTTGATTGGTGCATTTAAGCCATTAACATTTAGGATTACTATTGAGATATGGCTTGTACTTCCAGCCATATTAGGTTATTTATGTTACTTAACATGATTTGTTTTTCCTCTTTGATTAGTTTTTCCTTTACTGTACTACCTCCTGCTATTGGTTTTCATTGTTATTTTTCATTTCCTCTTCCTGTAATGTTTTGCCAAGGATGTTTTGAAGAGCTGGTTTTCTAGCTGCAAACTCTTTTAACTTTTGTTTATCGTGGAAGATTTTTATTTCATCTTCAATCCTGAAGCTTAATTTCGCTGGATACACGATTCTTCGTTGGAACCCATTTTCTTTCAGTGTTTGAAATATGTTGTTCCAGGATCTTCTAGCTTTCAGTCTGTGTTGAAAGATCAGCCGTTATCCTGATTGGTTTACCCCTAAATGTAATCTGCTTCCTCTCTCTTGTGGCTTTTAAAATTCTCTCCTTATTCTATATATTGGGCATCTTCATTATTATGTGTCTTGGTGTGGATCTCTTATGATTTTGTACATTTGGCGTCCTGTAGGCTTCTAGTATTTGGATTTTTTTCATTCTTTAAGTCTGGGAAGTTTTCTAGTATTATTTCATTGAACAGATTGCTCATTCCTTTGGTTTGGACCTCTATACCCTCTTGTATCCCAATAACTTTTAAGTTTGGTCTCTTTATGTTATCCCATGTTTCTTGGATGTGCCGCTCATGATTTCTTAACATTCTCGCTGAGCTGTCTATGTTCTTTTCAAGTTGAAAAACTTTGTCTTTGTTGTCTGATGTTCTATCTTCTAAGTGTTCTACTCTGCTGGTAATACTCTCATTTGAGTTTTTAATTTGGTTTATTGTTTCCTGCATTTCCAGGATTTCTGGTTTTTTTTAATATCCTCTATCTCCCTGTAGAGTTGATCTTTTGCTTCTTGGATTTGTTTATGCAATTCATTGTCAAAGTGATCTTTCATTGTCTGATTTTGCTGTCTAATGTCTTCCTTGAGACTCCAGATCATCTGAAGCATGTATATCCTGAACTCTTTATTTGACATTTCATCAGCTGCAGATATTACCTCTTCTAATGTTGAATTGACCTGCATTGTTTGTGTTCCTTTCATTCCTTGTCTTTTCATACTGCTCATGTTTCATTCTAGCTTTGTGAAACTGTTGTGTTAATGGTTTTCCCCTTATATATTTATATTGTTCTTGTATAGCTCCAAAATCCCTCATTTGCGGAGAAAGACAATGTTAACAGTTCCCAATATCAACAGTACTGTGTTTTTTTTTTTTTAATGTGTCTACTTTTAAAAATTGTTTTCTTCTTCTTAATTTTTGTGCTTGTTAATTAATCTTCTTTTAGAAACCAAATGGAAATTTGTTAATCTGTTTTAGAGTAGGATACTGTGTAAGATCATTAGGGCTGTGTTCTTTTTTTTTTTAATATTTATTTTTTCTTGTAGTTGGACACAATACCTTTATTTTATTTATTTTTATGTATTGCTGAGGATCGAACCCAGGGCCTCACATGTGCTATGTGAGTGCTCTACCGCTGAGGCACAACCCCAGCCCAAGGGCTGTGTTCTTAAGCAAAATTTGACAGGTTCTTAAAGAAGATCTGAGGGGGGTTCTTCTTTTTTAATATTCAGTTTCCTTTAATGACCTCCCATCTCCCTAAAGAGAAGGTGCAGGCAGCTAGACAATGGCAAGAGATATTCACTTGAGGCTCTTACCCTGATAAGGCTTTGCCCACATGCTGGAAGGCCCCTTCCCAGGAAAGGACTCTTGGACCAAAGTCTGGGTCTCTTGGCTGCCAGGATCCAGTTTCCGCCATGTATATGACTTGTAGTCCACCTGCCAATCTGGACTCAGCAGAAAGGCATGCTCCTAGCCTCAGAAGACCCAGACTCCAGAAATGGAGATGTTATTATTGGTTTCAAAGAGGATGACACTGGCCAAGGTGTTCTTTCTCAGCTTGTCCAATTGCTGAAACATTTCAGTGATAAGTTGCAACTCATGATGGCCTGAGTGAGCTCTTTAGGAAAGTGGTACTCAGTATACCACAAGGACCAGCCATCCTTATCAAAGTGCTCCCAAAAATATGGCAGCGCCACAGAAAGCGTGTCCTCCTTGGAGTATCTGCATTTAAGTTCATCCAACACAAAGGTACTCTTAGGCAGGTGAACAAAAGGGTCCTTGGCCTTGGGCTCAGCAGCCACTGCCTGGTCACAATAATCCATCTCCTCCTCTGGAGGTGGGGCAGCTGCCTTTTTCTCCTCTTTCCACTTGGCCTGGGGCTTCTGCTTCTCTTCCTGTGAAACCTCCTCTTTTGGGGCTGTGTCTCTGCAAACTTCTTAGAACTAAACTGAGCCATTTTCTCACACAGTTTCATCTTTCCCAAGATATCCTGGAACTGGGGCTGGTTAATGCAGGTGAGGAACCAGTGATTTGTACTGGGAAAAGCCTGATGGAAAGAAGTCTCCAAGACCTGTTTATAGAGTGACAGTGGGGTGCAGTCAACTGTGATATTAGTCAGTGTTACTTGTTCGCCCACCAGAAAAGTCCTTGTCTTCAAGTGAACATCCAGCAGCCGCAGAATTCACCATATCTCCTTCTTTGCATTCTCAGTGGCCTGTTTGTTGTGGTGTATGATGCTCAGGATAGGGAACACCCAGGTACTGGCTGGGGGCACTATGTCACTATCAGCAAAGCTCACCCACTGTACCGTCTGGGCTGCTGCTTCTGGAGTACTTTCCTACAGCTCCTCATTGCTCACATAGCAGGTGATGACATTGCTCTCAAACATACAGAATCCATCTTCATCCTCAAATGCTTAGAACCTTGCCAGTAGGAAATTTGAGGAGAAATTCAGGGGTCCAGTTGGTTTGGCCAAAGTGGAGAGCATGCAGACCTGAGTCCCACTGTAGTGAGTAGCGATGAGGGCCTTGGAGGCCCTCCAGTTTTGGGGATACGGATACAGGATCCCAAACACTACGGTGATTCCACAGAGAAAGGGCGGGTTCTCTCTTAAGTAAAGTCCAGAAGCATTTCTGTACCTTCGCTGAGACATCTATTTTGCTTGTTTAAAGGTCCCTGAATTATTTCCTGTACTTAAGATTGTTCTAGATGGTTGGGACTGCCAAACAGATAACCTTATAAGTCATGTGGTATGTAACAGTGATTTATAGATTAAACTATCCTTAAAAAATGTCAATTGTCAACAAATCCAACCTCTTCACTCTCTGAGGGATAAATGAAACTCAAAAAGTTCAAACAATTTGCCATACGTCACAAAGCTTGTTATCAGCAGAGCTAAGGTTAGTTAGAAGTCATTCAGACCAGTCAGGGTTTTTTTTTTTAAAATATTTATTTATTTATTTTAGTTTTAGGCGGACACAACATCTTTGTTTGTATGTGGTGCTGAGGATCGAACCCGGGCCGCACGCACGCCAGGCGAGCGCGCTACCACTTGAGCCACATCCCCAGCCCCCAGGCAGGGGTTTTTAACTGGGTACCCTCCCCTGAGAATACTGGTAATGTCTGAAGACACACACTAGGAGGGTGCCATTGGCACCTACTTGGCAGAGGCCAAGAATGCTGCTAAAAGTCTTATAATATAGAATAACAAAGAATTATCTGGTCCAAAATGTCAATAATGCTTTAGAACTACACTTTGTCAGATCTAAATAGTCAATTTTATTTATAATTCAACATTCTGAGAATAGAAGTGTTAAAGCAGGTTATTTCTCAGGCAAATATTCAGGCAAATTTAAGGATCTAGTTTAATTTATTCCCTGTGTAATGGAATATGATAAAAGAAGAAAACATACTTACCAGGAGCCAAAACCCAAGGGTCTCCTATCATAATCTGGCAGATCTGGAGCAATCTTACCAGCTTGTATGTTCAGGAATTTAAATATGTGGATTTTGCCTTTTATACATATCTAAATAAAATAAAATATAAGTGTGACAAAATTATTATTGAACACATTATTATTTTTGTTCTTTTTATAATCATAACCGGCTTTTTATGTAATGTAAATTGGGATTAGGAGGCATTTCTACCAAGTTTGTAGCACAATGTTAAAAAACTGATTATACTATTTGGTTCATTATTTGTTATTTTAGGTATTTTACTAGTAAATATAGGTTTCTGTCTTTTGGTTACCAGTAACTTTCAGTTACACACAGAAATAACTTATGATTATAAGCATTGTTAAAACACCAAGTAAATTTATCACACTAAGTTACATATAGTCAGGAATTTTAAGACTTCTCTCCAATAAATTATATTGACAACTTTTGATTTTAGGAATCCAAAAATTATGTACAATTGTGGTTTTGATCCTACTTTCTATAAGATTAAAATGACAAAATAGTAAAGTTATATATATATATATATTTTGTGACCTGTCCCAGAATTAAACAACTTCTTTAAGCTGATGAAATTCTTCTATACTTACAAGGTTTTTATACTACGTTTTTACAGATGCCATAAAGAGTACCTTAAGCTTGTGTAAAATCATCAATAAATTCCAGAGTTAAAAAAAAAATACTGTGAAAACTAGGGGTTGGCTAACATTTTTATAGATTGTAGGATAACTACGATCTATGTGAAAAGCTACTTTATAACTAAATAGTTTCATTTAAGTCCCTGAGAAAGAAATGAACAAACTAGTTAGATGGGGAACTTAAGAGTTTGGAAAATAGGAAGATGGTACAAAAACAATGGTCAAAAGAACACATTGATACATCTTTAATTTGGAAAGCTTTTTTTGTGTCTAACATTTATGTTCTCTATATCCAAGTTTTGCTAGGAGAAAACTGAGAGAGAAATTTCATATTTTATTAGAAAAAGAATTTTAGGGGGCTGGGGTTGTGGCTCAGTGGTAGAACACTGCCTAGAACACATGAAGCACTGGGTTTGATCCTTAGCACCAATTAAAAAATAAATAATAAAATAAAGGTATTGTGTCCATCAACAACTAAAATATACATAAATATAAATGCATATAATTTTAGAAGAATTCCTCAACTTAAAAAATGCCAAACTGGGGAAAGGAAAACCATTTGTGAAAACATCACCTATCTTCCATTCCACTTATTCAAGGTTTCTAAAGAATATATATGTACATGCATTTATTTTAAGAAAATAACAGAAAGATAAATGCATATAAATTCAATTCTTTTGTCAAAACATGTATATAACATATTTCAACTAAGGTTTACCTGTGCAGGAGGTGACTGCAGTGGATTGTTATCTAGGGTGATCACTTGTAGGTGCCTAAGATTCCGATAACAAACAGGGATTGCTATAATTTTATTGCATGAGAAGTCTAACCGTATCAAAGGTAACTCTGCCAGCTCTGCAAAAAGGTAAAATGGAAATGAACAATTAATGATATTTTAAGTCTACATAATTTTTACAAGCACTTTTAATTAAATAACAATGGCTTTAACATAGGTATTTACCTTCATTCTTGGTGACTAACTGATAAAGCAAAGTGATGTAAAATAAAATCTAGTTATCTATAGGTAGGAATACTAATAAAAATCAGGCAGTTTGACCTGATACAGAATTACAGAAATTCCCAGAAATTGGAGGCCCTGATACCAAAAAAAGGTGAGAAAAACAAAAGGAGTAGATGACAAGTCTTTATAAAAACGTAATCAGATGCCTAGGTCCCCAGTTCCAACTCACACAGTTGGAGCACTACTCTTCTCCAACCCTATAGAAGTCAGCCAGTTAATTCTCTAGTGAAATTGAATCAAAGCTCTGAACTCAGGGACCTCGGGTACAATGGGAAATCAGATGAGATGCCAATTGAAAATGGAGGAGTGAAAGACTATACAATCAATGGCAATTCCATAGCACATTCCACCCCACCCCACTCTCTCCCCAATTCTTGTAGGCCAGTAGATAGAAATACATACACTAATATACAAGAAATAGAATATCTTTCTCTAAAGAAGCTATACAGTGCATTATAAAAGGCCTTTAGACACTGTTAAGGCATTCTCCCTAATAAAAACACCCAGCTTGCCGTTTAATTACCCTTCTGCAGTTTACGCCTCATAGAATCAGCACTTTTAGTCGGCTGTGCATAGACAACATATGATCCACAGACATTTAGAGAAGCCAATGACACGTGAGAAAGAAATCAAAACCAACTAACCCACCAAAAAAAGGAACTTCGAAGAAACAAATAATTATAGAGGAAGCAGAAGAAAATTTTGAAAACTTAGAATTAATATCCTTAATTTCAGAGAGTGAGAATATTGAACCACTGAAACACAAAAGAGATTTTTTGGTGGGGAGAAAAATCATAATAACAAGATTTTTTAGAAATGAAAAATATGTCAGAAATTAAAAATTCAGAATAAATTTCTGAAAGCAAATATCCAAGAATAGTCCAGGTACAGTGGCACACACCTATAATCTAAGCTACTCAGGAGGCTAAGGCAAGAGGATCAAGTTTGAGGCTAATTTGGGCAACTTAGCAAGACCCTGCCTCAAAATAAAAAATAAAAAAAGGGCTCAGGATGTAGCACAGTGAATAGAGCACCATTGTGTTCAATCCCTGTGTCCTTGCCCCCAACATCCTCAAAATCTAGGAATGGTTGGAACTATTTTACAGGGTAACACAAAAGGACAAAAAAGGGAACAATGAAAAAGATAAGAAAAATCAAAGGCTCAATCAAAGAGGTCTAACATTCAATTCCAAAAAAATGAACAGACACCAAAAGAGAGAAAATTACCAAAAAGAGAAAGAAGCAAATTTTTCAAAATAAGGCCTAGAGTACCTCAAGTACCTAGCATGGTGAGTGAAAACAACTCATACTATGGCACAACATCAAAAAGTTCACAGCAGCAGGGAAAAAAAAAAAAAAAGGAAAGACCTTAAAATCTTTCAGAGAGAAATATTTGGTCACAAAGGACTGGAATTAGAAGTATTTTCAAAAATCAATTTTTAACACTGGAGGCTAAAAAAAAAAAAAAAAAAAAGGCTTAAAAGTCCTAAGAGCAAACAGCCTAGAATCTATAATCTAATAAATTATCAATCAAGGGGAGTAGGGAATAAAGACAGATGGGGTCTCAAAAAAAAAAAAATGTTATCCATGACACATTCCCCTTCTCACAAAACAACTAAAAGATGTCCTTCAGCAAAACAGAGGAAACTAAGAAAAGGAAGATCTGAAATCCAAAGAGTATTCAACCCAGAAGAAAATAGGCAGGGGTAGCACCATTTAGAGAACCACCAGCTCAGAAGAAGAAGAGAGAAAAAGGTCTTAGTGGGGAAGATATACAGGAAAAAAAAGTGATAGAAAAATCTGATGCATTTGACAAAGAAGGCTGCTGGATAAAAAGGGTAGAATTAGCCATGGATACATTTTAAAAAATTAAACAAATTTTTTTAAAAATAATCATTATTAACCCTAGAAAACAAGAACAAAATATACAAGAAAGAAAATGAAGGCTGGGGACATAGCTCAGTTGGTAGAGTGCTTGTCTCACATGCACAAGGCCCTGGGTTAAATCCCTTGCACCACCAAAAAAAAGAAAGAAAGAAGGAAAGGAAATGAAATCAGAGCGCATCACTTAAACTGGAAGGAATAATATTCATATATTATAGTAATATAAATACCGAATAAACATTTTTTTAAATATTTATTTTTTAGTTTTAGGTGGACACAATATCTTTGTTTTACATTTATGTAGTTCTGAGGATCGAACCCACTGCCTCATGCATGCTAAGTGAGCACTCTACCACTGAACCATAACCCCAGCCCCTGAATAAACACTTTTAATCAAAAGTGGTAACAAGATGATACTGGAAAGACAGAAGGAGGAAAATAAAGGTTATGATACGGTGATACTATAAGAAAATAAAAACCTGATTTATCATAACAGAAGTTGACATAGGTGTTAAAGTTGACAAACCAGCATTAGCTTAAGGTGTACTATTTAGAATATGTCAGCTAGTCAGGTGCAATGGTTCAATCTGTAATCCTAGCAGCTTGGGAGGCTGAGGCAGGAGAATCTCAAGTTCAAAGTCAGCCTCAGCAACATAGCAAGGCCCTAAGCAACTCAGCAAGACCCTTGTTTCTAAATAAAATGTTAAAAAAGGGGGGGGGGCTGGGGATGTGGCTCAGTGGTTAAATACCCTTGATTCAATCCCTGATTCCCCCCCCCCCAAAAAAAAAGTGAGCAAACAACAGTGGAAAAAGTCAAATAGGTTTAATGAAGGTAGATGCTCTGGCCATGGAAACTAGAGTGTGGGGAGTTTTAAGGAATGCCACTATTTAAGTTTTTAAATATCTTTTGAATGATGTAATAGTTTATTTAGTAAAAATTAAAATTAATTTAATTTTAAATCAAAACATCAAAATAGAAGATGTAATATGTTAATGACCAAACTGCAGTGTGAGATTACTAGTTAACACAAACTTCCATGCTAACTTGTGTACTGTTAGAATAAAGTGCCTGTTATCTCAGTTTAAATACATATGTTGATATTCAGTTTAACTCAGCTTAACTGTATATCCTATGACTCATAATTTTCTTGATAGTTTATAATCAAAATAAGTTAAGAGTTAAATTAGGTGATAAAATTATTACACTGTGATTGCCATCAGAAACCCCCAATTTTCATTTTCATCAAAAGCTCAATATTTTCATTAACTAATTTCATATTAATAAATCTTATTATACAAATAAGCTTTTAAAATCAACCTAAGTTGATTTTAGGTCCTAGTAGAGGGATAATCCTAGAGGGAATCTGGGGTTATTGGGTCATGTGTCATGATTTTGGTTCTGCTGAGGGTCTCAATGCATATTCTTGAGTTTGTAGCCAACACCAAGAAGAGAAGACCCTGAAGGTGAAAGGAATGAAGGTTACTGGACAAGTAGTGAGAGAAAAGATATGCAGGATGTTAGGTAATGTGGCAGTGACCAGTGAATAAAGGTGAACAGGGAAAGTCATTTTCTTATATGTTTACTTGGGATTCACATATGTCAAAAATGTTAGAACTAATTGTTATACTGGATCAAAATGGTATAAATGTTTTGATTCTATAGTAAGAGCAAAAACATCATTTGTTAACTCAATATTATTGTACATTCTGTCATGTTTTGTAAAAATCATTGTCATTAAAAATGCCTTCTGAAGATTTATCTTTTAAAAATACAATCTGAAATGATTATGAATGAATTTCTGGAATTTGTTTCAAATTAATCTACAGGATAAGGTGGGGAAAGTGGATAAGAGTATATGAAACAAGTGTTGCCAATAGCTGATGATAGCTGTAGCTGGGTGATGGATACACAGAAGTTCACTGTTCCCATTAATAAATGAAATTTTCCATATTAAATTAGAGAATATATATTTTGAATAAAATAATGGTTCTTCCTATTTTTACCTTCATTTATAGCTCCTTCCTTTTACAACTTTGTATTTGTGGAAGACTGATAAAATTACATTTAATTTATTTAATCATTTTTATCAGTCAAGATACGAGAGTTTATAGTCAGTCTAAGATAATCAGCCTTCTAGGACAGTCTCTTACCTCATTCATTATTTACTCAATACAGCACCTTCACATGGTTAATTAAGACTCAACTTTTCCATTGAAGGATAAAAATAAATTCAGTTCAAGGCCATTTGTAAGTCAGTGCTAAGTGCAAGAATGCTCTTCATGTTACTAGACTATCCCATTATCAAAACATGTTACATTCCTCCAACAGTCATGCTTACCAAAATTTCCAGAGACACTACCCTGAATTATTAATTATATTGATTGATAAGATACAAAAATAAAGTCATTTGTAAATAGTTACCTAAATTTTTCACTGAAGACTCTTTTAAAACTTCATAATAAAACAGATAACACTATTAAATAAACCACTGACTTTCAAAAATTCATCCTAACTCTTCATTTTTGTCTTGTGCCCATCATTCAGAGATCTCGTGTGTGTGTGTGTGTGTGTGTGTGTTTTCCTGGGGACTGAACCCAGGGCCTTGTGCATGTGAGGCAAGCTGTCTACCAACTGAGCTATATCTCCAGCCCAACAAGATCTTAAAAATAAAAAGATGAATAATAATAAAACAATTGTTTCACAATTTCTTACCTTCAGGCAAACGTACTAAGTGATTTCTTCTCACATTAAGGTCTCTCAAGGCCTCTAGATTACCAATCTGGGAAGGTATAGTTTGAATTTCATTGCAGCTCACATCCTATTTCAAAAGGGAACAAAGTAATCATTGTTCTAATAGTAAACTATCTCTACAATGAGATTAGATAAAATAATACCTAGGGTTCTTCTCAGTTATAAAAAAAAAATTATGATTCTCTGTTAAAGAATAATTCCATAATTTGTGCTCACATTTAATTTAAAAAATTTATGAGCCATAAATATTTCTCAAGAATATTGTTAATTAGATGACTTAAAATATGACTAGAAGGGCTAGGATATCAGATCAAATGAAAACACTGATGAAAAGGTAAATATAAAAAAAGTATAAAAATAACTATTTTATTATATATTATTCTAATAAATTAAAATAAAAAATTAAATGATAAAATTATTTGAAAGAAAAAACTCCATTTTCAAAACATCAGTTTCAACTGTTTGAAAATATAAAAATACACAGAAGATTTTAAATTATCAAATTGGATGTGGATAAAAAATGAAATACACGTAACTCAAAGGTTATGGAAAAACAAGCTGTTTTATTAGCATACGATCAACCCAATTCCAATATATATGTTAGGCAGGCCTCTTTTTATTTTTTTGTGATAATAAGGATTGAATCCAGGGATACTTTACCACTAACTTACATCCCAAGTCCTTTTTTTAAAAAAATTATTTTTTAGTTGTAGTTGGACACAATATCTTTATTTTGTTTATTTATTTTTATATGGTACTGAGGATTGAACCCAGGGCCTCACACGTGCTAGGCGAGAGCTCTATCGCTGGGCCACAATCCCAGCCACCAAATCTTTTTTATATATATATTTTTGTTTTGATACATCAGGGTCTAATCTCACTAAATTGCCAAGACTGGCCTCAAAATTACAGTCCTTCCCTCCTGAGTAGTGGTATTACAGGCATTCTGGTATTTTGGTAACAGTTTTATTACAATGGTTCTGAAAAGAAACTACCCATAGGTTCTAAGATTAATAAATTCAGAATTTCATAATTCTGAGATCAGCCAGAATAATTCGTTAACCCATATCATGCATTATAGCAAGAAACTATCTAGGTTGATATAAAGCTCCAAGCTGCACATTATCACTTAAAATTCTTCCAGTATATAAGGCAAAGAAAATAATACATTTACTGTTTAGAGAATCAGACTACTGCCGGGCTTGGTAGCTCACTATTGTAATCCCAGCAACTCAGAGGCTGAGACAAGAGGATCACAAGTTTGAGACCAGCCTCGCAACTTATAGCAAGGTCCTAAGCAAGACCCTGTACCAAAATAAAAAGGGCTGGGATATGGCTCAGAGGTAAAGCACCTCTGGATTCAATCCCTGGTTCAAAAAAAGAGAAAGAGAAAGAGAAAGGAAGGAAAAGATGGGAAGGACAGGAAGGAAAGAAAGGAAGGGAAGGGAGGAAGAAAGGAAAGAAAAAAAGAAAGAAAATCAGATTTACCCAAAACTTCATTAAGCTCAAACATTATTTGTTAATTTCCTCAAAATACTCTTAGAGAAAACAATGCAATTTTCACTTTTCCTATGAATTAATGACTAAAGTAGAATCCGAAGCTAGACTTTTAAATCTAATGCTATAGGCAACAAGTGTCAAGAAAACTGGTTCTGAGCCAAAAGTTTATAGCAATACATAATATATCCCTAAGGAGGGAATAAAATATATATGTGTATATGTAGAATATATATATTCCAAAAGACAGAAGTTTAATTCCATTTTTAAATGAAGGGGAAAAAAGAAAGAGGTAACATGGATGTTGCAGAAAGAACAACCATTGGGAGTCAGGGGCTTTAGGGTTACTAATTCTTAGGACTCAAAGTATCAAATAACCTTTTTTGTAGAAAACTAAAAGCAGCTTCTGAAACCTATCTATCTTTGGAGTATTTAGGATTGACTAAGTATAAAAGTTTAAAGATTTAAAAATAAGAATCTGAAGAAATGCCCAACATACATACATTTTGGACTTCATTTCTACGTTTAACTGGCTCTAAAATAGTAGTCTAAAATCCAGATGCTAGCTCTAATATGTCTGTGAATTTTTACATATAACTTCCTATATTCAAAATCCACCTGAAAAAGAATGATCTAATCTAATTAGATTTATGTTGCGTGTATTTTTTTTTTGTTTACAATAACCCTCTTTGTTAATAAACCAGCATGGAACAATACACCTAAATCCCAGTGAACATGTTTGTATTGAACCATTTCAGAAATATTAAACATGGGCTTTAGTGTTAAGTTAGGAATGGTTTCAAATTCTTCTTTTGTTATGTAACCTTGAACAAGTTACTAACCTGAGTGCTAGTTTCCTCAGCTATAAAATGAAGAAAATTGTAGTACCGGCTTATAGTATTATTGTGGTATAATTATCCCAAAATGAGAAAAGTCTTATTCTTTTTATTTATTTATTTATTTTAGTTATAGGTAGACACAATGTCTTTATTTTACTTTATGTGATGCTGAGGATCAAATTCAGTGTGTCATGCATGCTAGGTGAGCACTCTACCACTGAGCCATAACTCCAGCCCAAGAAAAGTCTCATTCTTGTATTTGAACATAAATACACAAGAGATGCTTTCTTATAATTTACAAGGAGGGTAGGTAAAGTTCAAGTAAATGTCTTAGAAAATATGAGGCAACAACAAAGCCCAACATTATGTATAAATATAATGCATCCATAAAAATATGGAAAAAATATAGGGCAGTAAAATATACTGTAGAGTTTGAGATAGTATGTGTGTATGTGTGTGGGGGGGGCTGACTTTTGAAGTGCCCACTCCCATAAAGGGGCTAACAGAAAATTAGAATATTGATGGTATTAATAAAATTTAATTTGAAAAACCAAATGCATTATTACCTTATATTTCAAAAAATTAATAACAAATCATTTAACACTGGTTAGAACATAATTCTAAAGACATTTTCCCATTTTGTGTGGGCCTATTTGACTTATACTTTCAGTTCTTTTTTAATTCAATGTCAAGAAGTTGAGTTACTACTCATTCAGCCAAGCTTCAATACCAAAGTGGAAAATAGCTGAAAATACATATTAATAGTAGATCTTTACCACGTATAAGAGTATAATATGACTACAAAGACACACTGGATGAGCAAAAAATGAAATATTAACTTACAAGTTCTGTCAAATGTCTGAGATGTCCAATTTCTTCTGGAAGTGATACCAATTTGTTATTACTAGCAATTAAAACTTTCAATGGTAAATTACACAAGTGTACTGGCAATGTTGACAGTTGGTTCCGACTAAATGGGTAAGTAGAAAAAGAGGAGTCAGAGCCTACCACTGTGGAAAAAAATTCCATCTTTCTTATTCTAGACTCAAATATAAGTCTTACAGGGAACAAATAGGATGTTAGATTTCAGTTCTAGCTTTCATTTTGCAAGATATCATCTTTGTAATTTTAGGCACAACACTGAACTTATAACTGTATCTTATGAAGAGTCCTCACGGATAATTAAAGATTTAATATTTTCCTAACTATCTTACAGGGCTCTTACACAATAAAACTCTTTTATAAAGAATGAATGCTATATGACCATGACATTATAATTTTATTAAAGTAATATTTACATAAGATCATCCTTTCTTTTTCCTCCTGAAGATACAGAAACAAAATTATTTGTATTCTACTTCACTCATCATTACAATATTATAACCAAATGTACAAAAATGATTCAAATATTGCTCTATGGAAAACAAGTGATAGACTATGATTTCATATGTTATACCAAATAAATTATAGGAAAGGAATCTTTATTTATACAAAAACAGAAAAATTGTATCTAAAAGTAAAATAACAAAACACATATGTAGATTTAACCTCTTAATCCTTAATATCAATTCCCTCTCCATTTTCAAGATGTAATTAATGTAGATCATGAGGCCATGAGGCTTAAAACTGGTTTTTTTTTTTAACTGGGGATTGGACCCAGGGGTGCTTAACCATGAGCCACATCCTCAGCCCTTTTTTGTATTTTATTTAGAGACAGGGTCTCGCTGAGTTGGTTAGGGCCTCATTAAGTTGCTGAGGCTGGCTTTGAATTCATGATTCTCCTGCTTCAGGCTCCTGAACTGCTGGGATTACAGGCATACACCACCATGCCCAGCACTAAAACTTTTTAATCCAATAATAATTCCACTCCTAGACACTTATCTTAAGGAAAGAGAAAAATAAAATTTACATACAAACTTCTCTAGTAGTGTTACTTTTATTGTGGTAAAAAACTGGGAGAAACTAAATATCTGGGAGGAAAATGGATTTTTAAAAGTAGATAAACTATGCAACAAAATGATTATCTATAAAAATATTTTTAAAGGGTATTTTATGATAAGGGGAAAGAAAACACATTTTAAAAATTGACTAAATCCTGGAAAACCAGAAAGTGATCAATTATAATTATATAACTTAAGATACAATATTTTGTTGAATTTCCTTTGTGCTTCTTTACATTTATATATTTTCAGTTGTTTTATATTGAATTTTTTTTTTAAAAAGTCATTGTAAGATGTGAAGAAATAGAGATGAGTTGAATAAATGCATTTACACATTCAAAAGTTAATACACAAAAGTTCATGGTCACAAGAACCAAGTGAAGGAATTTCAGATCTACTATTTTTGTTTGAGGAAGCTACTTTAAAAATGTAATTGGAGAACCACTGCTACTAGCCTGTTAGACTAATGGCTAGTAGGGTGTGTTAATGATTGTAAAGCCAAAGATAAGCAGAGACACTAGAAGAAACAGGATATACTGTTGATTTATCCTAAGAACATGTACAGAAACTGCCAATACAAACAGATACTGTAAATATCTGTAAACAGTTTAGTGAAAGAGATGAGAAAATTAGAAAGACCATATAAAACCAAGTTAAACAAACAAACAAAGAAACAATATGCTTACCTAATATTTAAGAATGTTAGGGCCTGCAGGTTTAGAATCGCCTCTGGGATATACCGAATACAATTTTGATATAAGTTGAGATTTTCAAGAGAAACAAAGTGACATGCTTCTATAGGAATTTCTGAGAGGCGGTTTCGTGACAGGTCTGAAAGAAAAGTTATTTTTTCAATAAATTTTTACTGAAATGTTAAACTAATATGCAGGCTTTGTAATTATTTGAATTCTCCAGTGTTCCTATTGTGAAGACTGGTTCAACATAAAGTTAAAACATCAACTGACTCAGTAAACTGTTTAAATACACACCTCCCCCCTTCTGTTTAAGTAACAAGCAATCTGGCTAGGGACCGTGCCTGTTAGGTTTGTCCAATTCAACATATGGTTCTTACCCGTCATCGGAAAACTGACTTTTAGGTGTCAGCCTCCTGTCTTAGGTTGATACCACTGCAATTGGATCATACCCATCACTGACTACCGGTCCAGCATATAGCCATACTTGTGGATAGGCCTATGTACCAGTGGGGGGGTGAGGTTCTTTGCCTCACCTCTGTTGGCCCCCAAATTTGGCCTTGGTGCCGGTGGGGGGGTGAGGTTCTTTACCTCACCTCTGTTGGCCCCCAAAATTAGACCATCACTAGTAGAAGGGAGGAGGATACAGAAATGTCATGACACCAAGTCAATTAACGGCTCCTAGGAAAAACTGCATCACTGGTGACACATCAGCAAAGATACGCTAGCACTACCATAATTCGCTGCATCAACAAATAGATCACAAAGCATACAAGTGATACATAGTCCAGGCAAGTTCTGTAAGCAGTTCAAAGCAGAGGAATCTATCAATATGTCCATATCCTCCCAAAATAAAGCATACAAGTGATACATAGTCCAGGCAAGTTTTGTAAGCAGTTCAAAGCAGAGGAATCTATCAATATGTCCATATCCTTCCAAAATAAATCGACTCATTGATTGAGCATTACTTGTTGAGTTATAAATCATTGATGTATCAGTTTACACGGTTTGTTGTGATAACTCTCGAAGAAGTTGTAGTTTGGTTTTATCTTTGTCTTCACCGGCACTGGGATGAAAATAGGAATTTTGACAATGATGCTAAAAAAAAATATGTAACATTTCAACAGGTACTAAGAAAACAATATTTAGAACAATTTACATTATCCTGAACAGAATTATTAAATATAATGAAAAGGAAAGGTGAAAGTAAACAAACAGATCTGTTAACCTTCTATTTGTTCATATATTAAAACAATCCTCAACAGCTGTTTACCCAAATTAAATTAAACTATTAAAATCACGTGAATAATAAAAAAAATTTTTTTGGATCCATGTGCATGAGCGCTCCTCATATGTGATATATGGACATACGCACATACAGACATACAACACAAAACAGAAGTGTGCACACGTAACATATAACACATAAGACAATAGTAAAGGCCTTGTAGCTTTACCTAGGTGAAATCTCCATTGCAATGTTCAAAAACTCCACAGTCAAAAAATAAAACTGATCAGAAAAAACATTAACCTAGGTCTGTATGAGCTCAAAAATAAAACAGAACTTTATGATGTGGGAAAAAGCAATAATAAAATAGATATTGAAAAAAGCATCCTGGTTAATCACTGTCGCAGATGTAAGAATAGCCAAGCTGGAGATCTGGATATCAGCTGTTATGGATTTGAGTCGAATCATTTTCCTTTTGGCCTCCAAGCTTCAGGCGTTCCCCGTGTGGGCCGCCAGTTGCCGCAGTCTGGCTGGGCACAAAATCACGAGCCACTCAAGCAGGAACAAAGTTTATTTTTTGAAACTGCCGCCAATGTCCGGTACCGCCCGGGCAGATTTTTTCCACCCACGCGGCCTCCTCCCGGACCTGCAGAGAGAGCTCCTCCCCCGGAACTCCCTCCTACTGTACTTCCCCAACCAATGGGAACTCTCCAGGAGTCCCGTAGCCGGCCTAGGTGAACAGCAGGAGTCCAATATCCATATGAATGCAAATCTTAACATAATCATATCATCTCAATGGCTAGCTGGCTCACCTTTCGACCAAAAATGCCATGCATCATATACTTGGCTCTTAGCACACACCTTTGAATCTATTGCTGGGAAATGTTGATTTCTTTTTGAGTTTCCATATACACTAAAAAATAAAACCACTATTCATTGCAAATAAAGCAAATACTAAGGCATCTCCTATATATTAAAGATTATATCACTAAATTCCTAAGAGCCTAAGAAACAACTGGATCTCTAAAATTCACCTTCCCACAGCCAGGTTTTTAGAATAGCAAAACAAAACAAAACAAAAATACTACCCTTTTCTTTACCCCAAATTATCAGGGTTTGTCAAAAGGACTCAGTAATTTACGGCTCCCACTGCCCAAAGGTGAGACAATTTGAACTTTAATAAAAATAATTGCAATGGATTGAAATCCATCACAAATATCAAACTACATGAGCTTATAACAACACACCTCAAAAAAGATGACAGAACAGCAATCCATTATCCTGTACACTGATAAAGTAAGGAGAAAAACCAAACATTTATCCTGCATTCCCTACATGACTTTATCAGTGAGCCAAATAGATGAAGAGAAGTATTCAAGGTTTTCCCAAGGGTCAGAACCTGTGTCTAATCAAGCTTCTGGATCAGTGGCAAACTTAATAGGAAATGCAAAGAATAAAGGACTATGTTGCTATAGTCATTATCCATTCAAATTTAATTCAGTATACTGTGAGATTCATTTGCTTACTACAGTTTTTATCTTTCTGTAGGAAATCAGAAAAATAGTTTTCTCCCTGCCCCCTCCATTGCCCTTTTTTTTGTGGTGTTGGGGATAGAACTCAGGCCCCTGAACATGGCTAGGCAAGCAATCTACCATTAAGCCCAGCCAAGAGGAAATCTTAAGTCTCTGTTGGGAATCATTTGGGAAGATCCTTAAAAGAGAACATTCTCTAGATGGAAGACTTGGCTAATATATCCTCTGAATACCTGCACATATACAAATACCTTGTTTTAACCATAGCAAATAAATGATATTTTGGCTAGATAATGACAGTTCTTTTCTTAGTAATCTGTAGATGCTATTTAACTATTTTCTAGTTTCTAATGTCCTATGAAAAAGTTCAGTGCATACCTTATTACCTTTCTTTTGTAAGCATCTTGTTATGCCTGCCTACCACCTTCAACACTTAGTCTGAAATGCAGTGAACTCATTTAATCCTTCTTTCCAAACCAGATTTGTCTATTTTATCTTTAGTGGATGCGTCTCCTACAATGGCTCTTTCTACTTCTTTCTGTTTTTCTATTTTGATATATACACTTCTAATTACTCTTCTAGATTATGAATTTGAATTTAACAAAAATCATTCTCTCCACAAATTATAGAAAAGTTTTCCCTCATCCCTTCTTGTTTCAGTTCTTTTATGGTATAATTAGAAGCATGCCACTTTGTTTCTCAGGAGAATCTCAAGATAGTTTTGTTTTGCTTCTTAAACTTGTCACAAATCTCTTCCAGGCGTTCTACTTCACTGAAGTTAACTCATTCTGGATGTTTTCCTTGTTCACCCTTTCCTTGGCTATTCAAATACTTTTATGAGGATTATGTTCTTTGATAATTCATGGCTCTCCGCTTCTTCAAAGCTCAGGTCAAGCTGCAAGGGTACAATGAATGGCAGTTAACACCAAATTAATAGAAACAACTTCTAAAAGAATTGAAATCAAGCTTTCCATCTGGGACAGAGCTAATTCTGTGAACTCACAAGTTTAAGATAACTGTCTTTTTGTTTGTTTGTAGTTGTAGATGGACAGAATGCCTTTATTTTATTTATTTTTATGTGGTGCTAAGGATCGAGCCCAGTGCCTTGCATATGCTAAGCAAATGCTCTACCATTGAGCTACAGCCCCAGCCCTGTCTATAGGCTTCTTTTGCCTTGTTTTCTGAGACCAACATGTCCCAAGACTCACACATTCCCTAAGGACTATGCCTGCCTGCCTTATGATAGTAACAGAAGTTGGGAAAGAGATCATTATTTTGCCAAAATGCCTCATCATGCTATATTCACTTGGACAAAATTAAAGCCCAGGTAATAGTAACCTTTGAGTACTTCAGACTAAAAATTTCCCAAAAAATCACCATGAATAACTTCTTTAATATGAAGTACAATTTTTATCAATTCCTATTTAAATTATATTAGTATACTTTTAAAAGTAGAAGAAAGAAAGTATTAATGTCAATTACAAACTGCTCCTTAAATATTTAAGCTGAATCCAGGAAAGATAATTTCAGGCAACAAATTAAAATTAAGCAGAGGTTACCTTAGCTAAGCAGAGAAAGCTTAATATTTGTGTTATAAACCTAAATTATTTAAAAGTCCAGTTTTGTCTCCAAACTAATGAGGGGAAAAAAAACAATAGCTAGACATATACTAAGTTTAAATGCATGTCAATAAACAACTATTCTTTATTTTTTTAAGTGATTAGAGAATTTAAAACATAATATGTCTACTTTTTTTTGTGCCTGTGGTATTAGCAATGGAACTTAAGACCTCATGGATAGTAGGCAAGAGTTCTACCATTGAGCTATATCCTAAGTCCTTCTTATTCTGAGATAGGGTCTCACTAAATTGCTCAGGGTGGTCTTAAACTTGCCACCCACCCAACTGTTAGCTGGGATCACAGTATGCCATTGTGCCTGACTAATTGGTCTACTTTTAAAATCATAATTTTTAAAGGTTCTCATGTTTTTGGCAAGTAGTTTCTTGTTTTAAATGAGTAATCTTTTTAAAAAAATATTTTTAATTGTAGATTGACACAATTTTTTATTTTATTCATTTATTTTTATGTGGTGCTGAGGATCAAATCCAGTGCCTCACACATACTAGGCAAGCACTTTACCACTGAGCCACAACCCCAACCCCTTAAATGAGTTATCTTTTAATATGCTATAAAATCATAAATGAACAGACAGAATTAATAACTTGGGTACATGGATCATCTTATGGAAAATACTACAAAATAATACTGGTTTGTAAAGGATATGTATTATCATAGTCTCTCAGAGGGAATAATTTTATAGCCAAAGAAATGTGATTAAGGAGGAAAAACAAATTTCATCCTTTTCAGCTAAAAAAAAAAA